AAATGTAGTTTTAATATTGGAAATCTTTGTAATATCCTTAAAATATATTTTCATATTTATTAATAAAGGTTAAAGCTTAAAAAATAATATAGATAGACAGATCTATGAAAACTTGAAAACCTTAACAATTGACAGTCTAAAAACGTGTTACAAAATACACTATTTTCAAAACTTAAAATCCATTTTTTTTTCATGTCCATGCATTTTGATGTTGAGATGATCGATTTGAAGATATTTGGGCATCAAAACAACCTCTTCTAGTGACATTTTTTAGGTAGGCTCAAATTTGATTATTTAGAGCCTCGGTAATTTTTCATTTATAAACTTTTCCTTATATATATATATTACCTTTGACGGTAAAGAATGGCCTATACAATATTATATTTTAAAAAAAAATTTATATAATGTTGCACCGTTAAAATGTAGAATTAAAGATGCACCTAAAAAATCCATCATAAAAGGTTGTTTGGATATCGAAAACCTTCTAACTAATCATCTCGACATCGAGATGTATGAATATGAAAATAAAAAAAAAATTCAACTCCACAAAATAGTGTATCTTGCAACACATTATCTGGACCGTCCATTTTCAAGATTTTCATGTGTTTATATAACTACTCGAATTGAACCATTTTTAAAAATTAAAATTTTATAATTAGAGAAGAAAATAGATTCTCAAGCTATCAAAATTAAATTAATGATAAAATTTAGAGGTGCGTCTTGCAACCACGCCCTATTATAAAAAAGGTACGGTTTGTATAGAGCTAAGGCTCTAAACAATCAAAGTAAAGCGCACCTTCAAATAGTGTCGAGAAATGTGGTTTTAGTACTGAAAATCTTGTGATAGCTTTAAAATATAATTTTACATTTAATTACAAAATTTAAAGCTTAAAAAATAGCTTACATTGAGCAGATAAAAACTTGAAAATCTTGAAAATTGACGGTCCAAAAATGCATTCCAAAATGCACTATTTCCAAAACTTAGAAATCCATTTTTTTCTCATGTTCATGGATCTTGATGTCAAGATGTTGAATTTGAAGATATTTGGGCATCAAAACAACCTCTTCTAATGAAAATTTTGAGGTGGGTTCTAATGTGATTGTTTAGAGCCTCAGCTCTATATAATTTTTGTCCTTATAAAAGGTAGTCCTGATAATTCCAAATCTATATTAGTTCGCTTCATCGTGGTTCCTTTAAGAAAGTGACTTACAAATTGCAGCATTATCCCAAAAATGGTTATGGGAGGGCTCAGGTGTTTTAATATTTGGATAAAAATGTTGGTTCTATTGGTTAGTTCATGGCTACCATAAAAAGGATATGAGATAGGTACGAGGACCCAGATTTGGGCACGTTACATGATACCTTAACCCATTTGCCCTATAAAATGAGGGCCATGGTGCCCCAAGTTCTCAAAAGTGCAGACTGAGAAAGTTGGAAAATGGCTTCTCTGTTAATGCTGGTATGCTTGCTGAGGTCTTTAGCCATTCCCTTAGGGCAAGGCCGGTTCGTAGCTGACTATGGTGAAGCCCTGGATAAATCGCTCTTGTATTTTGAGGCTCAAAGGTCAGGGAAGTTGCCTACCAGCCAGAGGGTTCTTTGGCGGGGCGACTCGGCTCTCTCCGATGGACATTCTGTAGGGGTACATCTATGAACCTGTTTCTTCTTCTTAGTGTGTGCATGTGTGTGTGCGAGAGAGCATGTTCCTTGCATCTTATGTGAAGCTTGGAGAGAGAGAGATGTTCCTTTGTATCTTATGTGAAGCTTGCAGAGAGAGAGAGAGAGTTATTTCATTATTAAATAAAATAGTTTGGTAGATTAGTGGAGATTACAAATCCCTAGCCGTTTTTTAAAATAATTAGATTTTTGAATGCGTTGGTGAGAATGAAGCCGAGATCTTCAACTGGGGTAAAGTATAACTATCGAACTTTTGTGAAGCATATAATTTTGATGGTTGAACTATTGTTGCCTATATATTTGAAAAATAAAACTCTCATGCAACATAGTTTACAACTAAGTGGCTTCAACTCCACAACTGATCAGCTGCCCAGTGTTCCTCAGCTCAATGAGCATGTAGGCGGATCACTAAATGGACTACGGAGGATTCATAGCCGTGTATTTCATTGGTTCTAAAGGTGTCATACATCACTGTTTTAACGTAAGGTGCATGGAAAAGGTAATTTAATAAAATAACATGATTAAAATACCATTATAAGTTTTGAAAGTCCATACTTATCACCATCATGCATAAGTCAAAGAAATTTATTAAAAAACAAAATAATTAAAATACCCCTATATCTCAAGGATGGAAAATGATCTTGTGAGATCCTCCCACAACTATGTGTGTAGGACCTCAAAAGATCACCATTAAATTTGGTATAAATCTTTAGAAAAATCAAGTTCCATACCCATATGATAACTGTTCTAGAGATCTGTGCCAAATTTAATGGTGATCCTTTGGGGTCCTACACAAATGGTTTGGGAGGGTCTCTTAGGATCATTACTGGTTAGGGATATTTTGGTCATTTAATTTCATTAAAATTATTTTGTGTTTTGCGTACGGTTGATAATTTTTACTCGATATGGATCTGAAATCCGAATTTTGGATCTGTATCTGGATCCTGTAACACTTTTTGGATCCAAATCCAGACCCGACTCGAAAATTCTCAGCCCTAGCTTTGAGGTGCCTAATATCGAGAAGTAGAGACACCCCAAGTTTGAACTTTATTCGATAGTATATTGAAATTAAAATATTATATGAGCTCTTAAAAAGTGAAACTTGAACGTAAATTATAAAATATAAGGGTTGAGGTTTCTTGAAAGCAAAATAAACCCTCACATCAAATTTTTCAGGAAAGCACTTTAGGCAATAGAAATCTCTATGATAGCTCTAAGTTCATTTTCGAACAACGACAATGAAATTCAAAACTCAAAAAATGCAGGTCTTGCGGATTTATGAATACTTATTTTTAGGGCGAAATAGACGGTCTAGACAATTTGTTATAAGATATAATATTTTTAAAGCTTAAAATCTTATTTTTTTTCACCACCATAATGTTCAAGCTAAGATGAATGATGTAAAGGTTTTGTAATACTTGAATTGCAATTTTCAACAAGTTATGAGTTGAGGCTCAACATATTTTGATAGAGCTGCACCCTTATCAAACTATTTTTCAAATTTAAAATTAAAATTATTATTATTTATTTATTTTACTTCAAAGAACGGTGGTGAACACTTTTTTCCTTTTTTTTTTTTTTTTTTTTTTTTTTTTTTTTTTTTTTTTGTTTGCTTTTTGTGCCTCCATCTTGTTGAGAGAGGTTCTATTTCTACATACCCCATACCAAATTCACCCACATTGGGATTACTCATTGTTGATGAAGTTTGAAAGATTCACCTTCGCAAACAAGAAGTCATTTTATATCACATAAATTGAAATGATAAGCAATTTCGTGATGCATTGTTACATAGGGATAGAATACAAAGCCAGAACTTGAAATAATATGTCTTGAACTCATGACCATTGGAATAATTTTGGTTTTTAGATTTAAAAAGGCAATAAATTTTGGTTTTCAGATTTAAAAAGACAAGAAAATGGAAAGATTGACATTATTGCAACTAATTTCCTTATTAGAAAAAGAAAATCCTTTTAATATTAATGGTATTCTGTTTTTGTTTGGCAGTTCTTCTTTTCCTTTTGTCCCTGTTCTTGTTATTTCCTACTATTTCAAGTGTAACTGTCCTTCACCTCAATCACTATGTTATCCTTTTAACTTAAAATGAACAATTCCTTTAAAATCGTCGAAAATCGATCCATTCTAAAAGACAGAAAAATTGGGGAAATTGAATAATGTATGATTCATGGGAAAACAGGTCGATCTCACCGGAGGCTATTATGACGCCGGCGACAACATGAAATTCGGGTTCCCCATGGCCTTCACTGTCACCATGCTTGCATGGAGCGTGGTCGAATTCGGGGAGGAGCTCAAAGCCACCAGCCAGTTGGACCATGCCATGAATGCCATATGGTGGGGCACTGAATATCTGATGAAGGCACACATCAAGGACAATGTTCTGTATGGGCAAGTGGGGGACGGGAGCTCCGACCATAATTGCTGGCAACGGCCGGAAGACATGACCACGCCTAGGACGCCGTACGTCATCAACGAGACCAACCCTGGCTCTGACCTTGCTGCTGAGACCGCCGCTGCTTTGGCCGCAGCGGCGATAGCATTTAAGGATGATCCTTATCACCTGAAACTCTTAGATCACAGCCAGAGGGTCAGTCCTCCGTATTCATTCTTTGTTTTCTCTTTTTTTAACGTGCTCATTCTTCTACAAAGGGAACATCCTATGCTCTTTGAGACAATATTTTCAATAAATTCAATTTATTTTCATTTAATTCGATAAAAGTTCTGCTTATAGTAATCCCAATAATATCCGGGTAAAATCAATATATTTCGATGAATTCTTTCTATTACTGTTGCAATAAAAAACTTATTCAATAATAAGAAGTATGTAATCCAATGTTTAATTATTTGGGCGAGCCAACTCAGATTCACCAGCATTGTCACCCCGAGCATCTTGGAATTGGGGGATCTTAAAAAACAAATTCAAAAAAATTAAAAACCTATACTTATTTTTACTATTTCCCTTTTTATGGATTATTTCTAAAATGCACCTGTCACAAATTGACCTTTTCAAAATTCGTTTTCTCGCTACTTTTTAAACCTCATTTACATGTGTTTTGTTTAATTTTATTTTAAACCTATTTTCTATTTTTGGGATTTTTTGCATTTTGTTTCATTTTGTAATACTTTTTCACTTGGCCTGGACACCTCCCAACTCGGGCCAAGTAACTCAAAATTGGCCTGAATTCCTGAGCTCGGGAAGGGGCCGATTCCCGTCCCCGAGTTGTGGCTTTGTACACTAATGTAATCTAAGAGCAAAATTATCCACGTGAATTTCAAAGAAAACATATCTTTACCTAAAAATAACACTAAAATATCAATATGGCAAACGAGGAGCAATTTGCCAAGAAATGATGACAATTATATAAGTTGAACCTTTTGATATTTTTAATTTAATATACATGAAAAATTATTATCAACTTTATCATTTACAAAATGTTTAACATATTTATTTTTCAATTTCTTATAATTTTAAGAAAAACTTTTAAGAAAAACTTATTTCTTTACTAGCATTAAGAAAAACTTATTTCTTTAGTAGCATTAAGAAAAACTTATTTCTTAATAAGTAATACACGAATTAAGCATTTTATATAGGCCTTTCACTTGTCCAATTAGTTTCTGATAAAAAGACAATAATATTTTGATAACGACAATTGTCATTAAGCCCAAAGTTTTCTTTCATATCTAGTATTACCTATTGGGAAAATTATATCCTTATGTTGTCAATTTATTACATGTTGGCATAGAAAGTAACATTTAAGGCAAATTATTAAGTAATGCGACCATATCTGTTTATGTTTTGTAGCTCAACCAAGCAGCAGATCGTTACCAGGGGAAATATTCAGATTCCATCCCTACAGTACAGAACTTCTATGCCAGCAACGGATTTAACGTAATCTCTCCTCACATACACATATAATACACATATATGGGGTGGCAACGTGTCGGGTCTGGCTGGACCCGGACCCAAGAAAAAAAAAAGGATGCGGACATGACCAGATTGGATTGGACCGGACCCGAACCAACCATATCGGATTGGAACCCGACCCATAAAAAAAAAAATTTAAATATATTTCAATAGTTCAATTATAAAATACTCTATAGTGTAAACACCTAACATATCCCTTACTCAAATATTATAACTAAAAATATATAGTTATATTTAACTAAATATTATTAAAATATTATTTATATAATAATACTATTCGGGTTGGGTCCACATGGACTAGGACTAGAATAATATTCGGTTCCAATATTTGGACCCAGACCCGACCTGCCAGGTCCAATTCTTGGACACATACACAGACCTAGGTTGGGTCTTGGGTTGGGTCTGGGTTGATTGCCACCCCTAAAACATATACATACACATGTACGTGCGTGTTCGGGCATGTGTTCATGCACCAAATATACACACTACAACCGAAAGAGTAGCACCCATAGGGCTGAGAATTTACTCAGTTTGGATCCGAAATCTGAACTTTGACCCATCTAGATCCAGGTATGGATATAAGATTTAGATATGATGGTTCAGATCCGGATCCAAATTTTGGATCAAATACAGGTGGATCGATATGGAACCTATCCAGATTAAAATATTATGTATTATTGTATAAATATATACATATATTTTATATAATATTTTTTGTTATATTTTATTTTTTAGATATAAAATAATTTTTTTGGATCCAATTAGTTTTGGATCCCGATCTAAAACCCATGTATACTTTTGGATCCGGATCCAGATATTTTACATCAGATTGGATCTAGATCCAATTCTAGATCCCATGTATACTTTTCAAATCCAAATCTAGATCCACCCCTGAAAAAAAAAAAATTAACACTCACTCTCTCTCTCTCTCTATGTATCTTCAACAGGATGAATTGCAATGGGCTGCTATGTGGCTTTGGGAAGCCACCCAAGCGCAAGGGTGGTTAGATCATCTACAAAATTGGTTTGACCCAGGGCCTGTCGGGCCTTGGTTGAATTGGAATGAGAAATTTGTAGGCGTTCAGGCTCTAATAGTAAAGGTCAATTTCTCTCTAAATATATGGCTTGCAGTTTCCAATGAGAAATTCTTTGTCAATTTTAATACGTGGGATGGCTACCAACAAAGTTTTTTATTTTTTTCTCTTTTGTTGATTCAATGAGGAGAGGGCTCCTACTGTGCAAATCGTCGAGCACTAATTGATTAAGCCCGGTTTTCTTACAAGGTTCACAAGAACTTTTTTTCAACCATTCATATTGAATATGGGTTAAGGAATAAGTTCAAAGGTATGGGTAATCAGGGTACCAAGTGCCATGATGTTTTGAATTCTGTTATGAATTCTATTTCAAGTATAGGTAGGGGCTTTATTGAACTACCCAAAAAAAGAGCCTATTTGAATACTGCAAATTTATTCATTTTTTAGTTTTAAAAATTCAGTTTACATGAAAATTGGGGCATTTATACATCTAAGGCGCATCCATTAAAAATGTAAAAAATATTCCAAATAAAAATAATTGAAATAGCCTTGAATATTTCAAAGGTATATTGGTCAATTTTGTTATTCTAATTAAGCTTTTTATTTATTTTTATTGATTGCATTTTTTGAATAAATATGTATCCTCCAATGCAGTGTTTAAAAAAACGCCGAGTCGAACCGGACTCGCCCGATTCGACTCGAGAATCGCCATGGACAGATCGAATCGGCGAAAAAAACAGGAATCGTCCGGTTCTAGAGAGAATCGGACGATTCTGCACAGTGACTCGCCGATTCACTGTACGGAATCAGCGAGTCCCGTATGGATTTTTTTTTTTTTTTTGTAATTCATGATAGATTTTTTTGTAATACTTGATCGATTTTTTTGTAATCCATGATCAAATTGTTTTTTTTTTTTGTAATCCATGATTGAATTTTTTGTTTTTTTTTGTTTTTGTAACCCATGATAGAATTTTTTGTAATCCATGATCGAATTTTTTGTAATCCATGATCGAAATGTTTGTTTTTTTTCTTGTAATCCATGATCAAATTTTTTGTTTTTTGTAACCCATGATAGAATTTTTGGTAATCCATGATCGAATGTTTTGTAATCCATGATCGAAATGTTTGTTTTTTTTGTAATCCATGATCGAAATGTTTGTTTTTTTTTGGTAATCCATGATCGAATTTTTTGTTTTTTGTTTTTTTTGTAACCCATGATAGAGTTTTTTGTAACCCATGATTGAACTTTTTGTAATCCATGATCGAATTGTTTTTTTCTTTTTTTGTAATCCACGATTGAATTTTTTTTTTTTTTTGTAATCCATGATCGAATTTTATGTAGTCCATGATTGAATTTTAT